GTTGGGGAAACTGGAATTGTGCACAGTAAAAATTTGAATGGTTTTTCAACCATTGAGTGGACCATGCCTTATAACATCTGAGAAAAGGCAATTTTCTTTCTTTCTTTAAGTTGTGCACATAGAATTCAAATTCACCAAGCTAATAAAACTACCTACACTCACCCAAAATTTAACAGTTCTTGACCTTTGCAGACGAATGACGTCATGGTGGCGGAACGCGCCAAGGTCAGGGAGATCGCCGCCATTTTGTACGGGCCCGACCACAACAAGACTACCGCGCCTGCGCGGGACGAAAGCGAGGGCGCCGTGAGCAACGTCAACCCGGTCAGGACGACGCATGCGCAGCTCCTTCGCGGAGGGGTCGGCGAGGTCAAGTTCTATCATCCGTTCAGTGTGGTGGTGGCTGAGAACGGGAACACGTATGTTTCTTTATGTTTGTTTGTTTAGGAAGCTCCCATTAGTGACAATAGAGAGATTCGTCGATGAAGGTTAGACATCCAGGTAATACGATACGCCAAAAAGCAGTTACTCAAGCAACTGGATATGATTTTGGATATGATTATGATTCTGACGTTTTCAAAATCATATCCAGTTGCTTGAGTAAGTGCTTGTTGGCCAATAGAGAGATTCTTTATTGACACAACAAAAAGTACAGGGACTTTTGTATGGTCTTCTACAACTAAAGATCTAACAAAGCTAAATACAGTTGTGGATAACGTCATCTTACGTACAGAGTATATGTATGATGTAACAATAAAGGTTTAACTATTCTCTAACATGTGGTCTCTAAGATCGAAACATTCTTTAATGTATTTTCCTATTTGAACACTGTATTGTATATCACTATTCTTCCTTTACATAAAATACATTAACTATTATTTACATACGCGTTTAACTGCTATCAAGAAAACGTATCTATCAACATAGTAATTTACACATTAAGCATCAATTGATACATCAATTAATAATATTACACCATACAGTTAACAAAAAACAATTATGTACTAGATGTCTGAGAGGTCACAGGTCATGAATTTCTACAAAATATATTTGTGTTCATTTTTTGTTTGGATTCTGTTATCTGCACCTTTGATTATCTTTTGTTTAATGTATTATTTACACTCAAACGGTCATTCATTCATTCATTCATTCATTCATTCATTCATTCATTCATTCATTCATTCATATATTAAAAACGTTTACCACCAGGTACGTGCTGGACATGTACCGGTGCGGCCGCGTGCACGTCTTCGGGCCCGGGCGCAACCTGCTCCGAAGGTTTGAGCTGGACCTGAACGGTGTCGCTGCGACGCGAGTTACGGGCGGGCTCACACTCTTCAAAGGTTCTTTTTTAATTTTTTTTTTTCATTCATCAAAAACATCAAAACATAACAAGGACAGTGTGACGCTGCACTGAAGTTTACAACTTATATTACCAGCGCCACACACACACAAAAAATTAACATTTAAATACACAAAATTGACATACCAGTGCGCCGTAGACTCTCCACCCCAAGACGTAAGAAATGTCAATGCTAACAAAGTTATTTGAAAAGATTTTCTTGAGCTGGAGTGGCTACTAAGGATTACTTGTTAACCTCCTATATCTCATTGGTGGCAACACATCCGCCAATCAGAGCTAGAAGGAGAATTTAGGCCCATTAACACATGTAGTATTTGGATTTGTTCAAAGGTTCGACCCTGTGCTGGGTGGGAACTGCCTACATGCCAACCAACATCGACACCCTTCTACAGTGCAGTCAGAGCTAGAAGGAGAATTAAGGCCCATTAACACATATAGTATTTGGATTTGTTCCAAGGTTCGACCCTGTGCTGGGTGGGGACCGCCTACATGCCCAGCAACATCGACACCCTTCTACAGCGCAGCTCCTCGCAATCCCAGAACTTCTTCATCGAGTTCGATCACCATGGCAACATACAGAAGAACGTGAGCGTGGCCCTGTCGGGGGAGATCGCCGACGCGGCGTTGCTAAGACACGGGACGGTTGCCATGGCGATCAGTTCGAACGTTCACGTCCTTGACGACGAGGCGCACGAGATTTTCCACTTCTGCGCGAGCGATTTCTCACCTGTTGAGAAACTCTGCATCAACGAGCAAAATGGCGACATCCTCGTCTCCCTGTGGCCCGAGAACGTCGTCAAGGTATTCGACTTGCGGGGGAACCTGAAACTGCAGTTCGGTTGCTATGGCAACGCGGACGGCCAGCTGGACCAACCAAAAGGCCTGTGCGTGGACGCGGGCGGGAGGATTCTGGTGGCGGACGCGGGAAACAGACGAGTCGCCATGTTTGACGGGAGTGGAGCTTTTATAAAGCACATAGCAACGGAAATAGATGGGTTAAAAGACCCCCACGCCCTGTACGCTACTAGGGATGGCAAAGTAGTGGTGACAGACATTGGAACACACTCTGTACATGTCTTCGAGTACTAAAGATTATCGTAGAATTCTTGAAGCACGTGGCGACGAAATCAGACGGGTTGAAAGACCTCCATTGCCTGTACGCTACTCGGTGTAAATAGACATGTAATACCCCATCATTATGTCGAACAATACGCCTGGCCAGAACTTCCGGACAACGAACACAAAAGAATGAAATATTTCTCTAATACTTGTCCTTGGATCTGTCCTAGTACAAGTGTTTATATTATGTTAACCAGATGTACGCAAAACTAACGCAAAATTGCTGTTTATCAGTTTATTACTTAATTCAGATACAGTTCCCATAAATAAAAGGACAATGAAAACAGTATTGTGGTAAAAATCATTGAAATGAAGAGCTTAGTAGGTAGTTTTACAGCAGGTGTTACAACCTTTGTGTACAGGATCTGTAAGTGTAATGGTCCACTTCAATGCAGCTGTACTCGATATTGGGACGGTGACATTATTCAAATATTTAACTGAACGAACGAACGAACGAAAGAAAGAATAAATGCCGGACATGCAATACCCCATTATTATGTCGAGCAATGCACCAGGCTGTGTCCGGAACTTCCTGACAACGAACACAAAAGAATGAAATATTTCTCTAATAACGTGTCCTTGGATGTAGAACACGTGTTTCATATGTTCACCAGATGTAAGCAAAATTGCTGTTTATTAGTTCATTGCTTGATTCAGATACAGTTCCCATACATAAAATTGCAATGAAAACAGTATTGTGGTAAAACTCCTTAAAATGAAGAGCTTAGTAGGTAGTTTTACAGCAGGTGCTAAAACCTTTGTTAACAGGATCTGAGTGTAATGTTCCACTTCCGTGCAGCTGAACTCGATGTTGGGACGGTGGCATTTTTGTATAAGAGTGAAAAATTTCAACAGAGAAGTAGTTTTGTATACGTAGGCTAGACCAAGTGAAGGTAAACATTATGCAGTTTCTTTGCAGATGACCTGTGACCAGCATAAATGTACAATAAAGGTATTTCGTCCTTGTTTAAGAGGGACTTTCTTAATTGTGCCATTTTTAATAAGCGTTAACAAGTTGAACAGAGAAGTAGTTTGGTATACGTAGGCTAGACCAAGTGAAGCAAAACATTATACGCTTTTTGCCTACCGTGATGTCATGTATATACATGTACATATACCATAAAATCCATGCACTAAGACAGTGTACATCAATACACAGTTTCTGTCAACATTGGTGAATGCTAGGGTGGGGAGGGGGGTGCTTGAAAGTGCTACCTCGTCAAAACTGTACGACGCTCTACCTGCATGCTACGACGAACGGGACTAAGGGTTTCCCTCCATCGCCTGAATCTGTGACAGAGGCGTCTGGACAGTAGGTAGGACAGTCCTAAACACCGCTAGCTTCTTCCCCGCCACTCAACACAGTGCCTGCGGTATCGGCACGATACAGTGCCACACACACACACACATGTACACATAGGGTTCGGCAGGGCGCAGCCGCTTTTTGCCTACCGTGATGCCATGTATATACATGTACCATAAAATCCATTCACCAAGACAGTGTACATCAATACACAGTTTCTGTCAACAATGGTGAATGCTGGGGTGGAGATCGAGGGGGCTGCTTGAAAATCCTACCTCGTCAAAACTGTATGACGACCTACGGCGAATGTTCAATGTTAGTCTGTTGTGAAGACTAGGGGTCGTCTTCCATCGCCTGAATCTGTGACAGAGGCGTCTCTGCATACGGCTGGATGGTCGGGCAGTCCTGATCGTCGCTAGCTTCTCCCCCACCACTCAACACTGTACCTGCGGTATCAGCCCGATACACAGGATTCGGCATGGCGCGTACGGTCACCATACGGAACTGGGTGGCGAGGGTCCCGCTCCTCCCTCCCTGTAGCATCTTCCAGGCCGTTTCTACCTGGTTCCTACAGCAGAAGAACAGGCCAGACAGCAGACAGGTCAAGGCGAACCCACCGACGAAAGCCAGCACCAAACGGACCCTTAGAACGCTCCTAGTGCCACTGTTCTGTCCGGGAGGACGTGTGGAAGTCGCCAGGATTGAAGACGACAGGTCAGTAGAGCCGGTGGTGGCCTTATATTTAGATAGTAAGGTTGCCAGTGTTGTAGGCATATATTTAGATGTTGTGGTCTCCAAAGCTTGCTCACCCTTGGAAGATTCAAACGGCTTGGATGTGTCCATTCGCTCCGTAGTCAGTGGGGGTTTCTTGTCCCTGTTACGGTGTGAACCATGGTAATGTCCGTGATGGTGATGACGATGATGACCATGGTTGTTGTTCCTGATCTTTGTTTTCGCTTTTGTGCCATATTTAGATGTTGTGTCATATTTAGATGTTGAGGTCCCCAAAGTTTTCTCAGCTTTGGAAGATTCAAACGGCTCGGGTGTGTCCATTTGCCCCGTAGTCAGTGCCAATGGGGGTTTCCTTTTACTAGTATCATTAAAGCATACCCATTTTGTAGCGCCTTGTGTTCTGGTACTTTTGCAGCGATTTGGGAATGGCGCACTGCTCGCATTTCCAAACACAGCCACTACCACTACGAGGGCAAGGTACGATTTTACCATCTTCATAATATGCCTGATAAGTTAGACTAAATGAACTGAATTTACCTTACCAGAAATGTATTCTAGATTTTGAAATATAAAGAGCTGGGGGAATTTCTAGCTGCAATGAAGCTGTCAGTTTTCGATGATACAATTTGACACAAAACTAATGGCGGCAGATTTCTGAAAGAAATAGAAAACAAAAAAGAAATAAGAGACCTTTTATTTTACATTGGTTCAAACCATTGAAATCTGCCATTGAATATGTTCTACATGCCTAACAGTGTTTCATATGTTTTCATGTATGACAGTGTTGGATACATATGCATGCCTGATTGTCTGGCATGTTTGTGCATTCTTCTAGTAAAGTGATAACATCATGCACCTAGCATTGTGTGTTACTGGGATTCAAGCAAAATTGAGTACAGTAAACAAAGCAAAGATAGAGGACCACACACACACAC